AAAAAAAAAATTAAAGTTTGACCGTGAAAAAAGTAACTGGAAAATTCGTTTTTGAAATAAGTAAAATAGTTTGATGGAAAAAATATGTAATAAGAATAAGTTGAACAGACAAAGTCTTAATCTTACTACTTATAAAGTACTCCGTATTATGTATTCTTTTTAGAATTAGATCCAAAATTGATTTTAAGAATTTCTTCTCTTCAACTTATTCTAATTATTTATAACTCATTCTTAACATAACTAGATTAAAGTTGTGTCCCGCTCTTCTGATATGATCTGATATGATTTTTGAAGTTCTTATCTTATTTGATCTGATCTGATCTAGTCTAATCCGAGTAGATCTGATCTGATATAAAGTTGATTTAAATTAAAAATAAAATTATTATTATAATACTTATAATAGTAATAAAAATATTAATAATTATAGTAATAATAACGATAGTAATAATAATAACAAATATAATAATAATAATAATAATAGTAATAATAATAACTATAATAATAATATTAAGAATAATACTAATAATAATAATAATAATTGAAATAATAATATTAGTAGTAATAGTAATAATGATATTAGTAACTATGATAATACTAATAATAACAACAACAATAGTAATAATAATAATAATAGTTATAATTATAGTAACAATAGTAATAATAAGTATAGTCATAATAGTAATAATAATAATAATAGTAATAGTAATAATAACAATAGTAAGAATGAATAATAGTAATAATAATAATAATAATAATAATATTATTATTATTATTATTAATATTATTAGAATTAATAATAATAATAGCAATAGTAATTATAATTATGATAGTAATAATAATAGTAACAATATTGTTAAAAATAATAATAGTAGTAGTAGTAATAATAATAATACTCCGTATTAATTTTGTTTAGATCGGATCTGGTTTGGTGGAATCTGATCTGATTGAATCTGGTCTGATCTCATTTAGTTTGATCAAATCTAGCTAATCTGATTTAATTTTAATAAGTATAAGTAATAAACAGAAAAAATAAATTGAACGAAACACTTCTTAAACCAGAATATATCAGAAAATTTTTTATATATAACTTGAATAAGATCATACAAGGACCCGACCAGATTAGAAATTAATCTAATCAAATCAAATGTAGTCAAATCAGATGAAGCAATCGAACTCTAAATATAACTTGAATCAGATTAGATCTTAATGCAATCAAATCAAACGAAGAGAATAAATCCTAAGGGGATTGTTTTTTTATTTGAAATTTCAGTTTTGAATATTAAGAAGAAATTGAAAGAAGTTGGTAAGAAGCTGGAAAAAATAAAATCTTGAAGGAGATTTAAAAAACTAGAATGGTTTGGAAAATATTAGAAAAGGTTAACAAATGTTTGGAAAAAATGAAAAAAATTGAAATGTGTGTGTGTGTGTGTCTATATATATATATATATTGGTGTCATTATTGAAGAAAAGAAATAGATCATATAATGAAATATAAAAATTTTCATTGTTTTGAAGCATGCATGTAAAATGAATTACAACTTTTAGAAATCTTATTTATAAACTACATTTGTAGTTTGATTTGGGGGATTGAGGGAACATTATCAGAATAAGCCATTACGATTTGTTAATCCTAAAAGCGTAACATATAGTGCAGGACTAAATATTGGTTTCCTTAACAATAATCTTACGTGTTTTCGAGATTAGACTTGACTCTTATAAATATGAGTTCTTGACATTGTCGAAGCAAATATAAGTTTGAGATTCACTACTAGGATTCGTCAATGTCATATATTCAAAGGGAACCAAAAAGAAAACAAGATATAAAAAAGTATATACATTACATTACACGACTTCATTATCATTTTCATTATATTTCTATTCCATAATATTTATAATACTCCCTCCGTCCTAAAATTAACTTCTTACTTGACTTTTCACGGTCTCCAATGTGACACTTTGACCATCAACATATCAATTTTTATATAAATATATTTTTTAAAAATTATATATTTCAAAACTATGTTTTAAAATGAATNTTCGTCAATGTCATATATTCAAAGGGAACCAAAAAGAAAACAAGATATAAAAAAGTATATACATTACATTACACGACTTCATTATCATTTTCATTATATTTCTATTCCATAATATTTATAATACTCCCTCCGTCCTAAAATTAACTTCTTACTTGACTTTTCACGGTCTCCAATGTGACACTTTGACCATCAACATATCAATTTTTATATAAATATATTTTTTAAAAATTATATATTTCAAAACTATGTTTTAAAATGAATCTATTGCTTATAAATTTATATTAAAATTCAATGTATTTTTTCCGTAATATATGGTCAAAGTTTAAAAAATTTTACTACAAAAGTCAAACTGTGAAATTAATTTTAAGACGGAGGAGTAATATATAAATATACTGGAGAGTTCAAATCCTTCGATATATATATATATATATATATACATAAGTACGCACTAGTTATATTCATTTATATTTACGAAGGAGAGTTCAAATCCTTCCAAATCCCTTTCCCTCCTAAAATGTGCAAACAAACAAGTGATGGATTACATCCCTCCTTCAAGTCCCTCACCTTCCTCCAACTACCCCAATGGATTGTCCGATTTGTTTCTGCAAACTCTGTTAAGTCCAGAGTATATTGTTCTGGTGTAGGAAAGTGTTCTTAGAAATGCAAGCCCATCAACCACCTCCTCGACTCAAGAATATAGCTGATCCTGATTTGCCATGGTTTATGGGCTTGAGAGCCCCAAAGGAGTACGCATGTCCCCTCTCAAACTCACCGTATTATCTTCCGCGCAAGATGCGCGAAGAAGTCAATTTAGAGGAGATCTCAATGGTTGTTGTTTCTCTTAAAAACTATTTGAGTTAACTTTGACAAACTTAATTTTGTGGTTATTTATAAACATCAAATCTTACTCAAAGTCGTGGCTAATGATATACAGGATTTCGATGATTGGGTATACAACTCCCCGAACAAAGACCTCTGGTCTTTTGCTTTCATGAAGGATTGGAAATTGGGATTCTCGAGCTGTTTGGGCCGTGCATTTTCTCTATCTTCCTATTATAAGGAGGGCCTGCGTGCCATTTTTGGGCATGTATATACAGAAACCGTTGTTGGTGGAAGATATGGCCCAAAGTTGGGAACACTTATACGGCAATGTAATGGTGTGATCTCAATAGATACATCAAACTCATCCACTGAGCCTGGTAAAACATGGAAGATTATTTTCTTTTCTTTCTTTATTGAAATCAACTTGGTTTACTCATTTTGTGTGTGTGTTTTTTGTTTTAATAGTCAATTCTAGTTACATACTGGAGACCATCGACACACTTGTTATGTTGGTCAAACATGTTATCGACTCTGTGCCCCTCGATAAACCTAGTGCGTACCCGGATGAGGTCACAAGATTTTTCGAGTTATGTAGATTACCTCGATGCGAGTCTGATCTTGAAATCCAAAGGTACTTCATATATTCATGTATCTTGAAACTTTTTATGTAATTTGCTCAGCAAATGGAAATTGAAAGAGTTCACACACACACAGGCAGTTTGAAAAGGTCTGCATTATGTGTTGCAGTGATTAGGGAGAGGAATCCTTCTAAAAAATTATTATAGTCCTGCAAAGATAAGACTTCCTCATTGTCCTTGAAAAATTTGGTGAAATGAGATAACCAGATTCTCCAACTCCTCAAGCTTATTCATCAATTGATTATTAGTATCTAGAAAGCTGTTGATTCTCTGTTGTCTCCTCCTTTCTTTCACAAGACTGAAAAATGTGGTATTTGCATCTCCTTTAAGCCACTAAACATTTCCTTTCTGCGTCCAATATGCGTATTCCATATTTGAAACTCTTGTCAACTGTGCCTTCTTAAGATTGAAAATTTCTCTGTTTACTTCAGTAGCATCTCACTCAAAATTTTGCTCAGCAGTATATGCTTCCTCCTCAGCTTCTTTAACAAGAGAGAAGACATTACCAAAGTATTCTTTGTTCCATTTGGTCAAGTCTTCTTTTCAGTGCTTTAGTTTGTTGAAAAGACATAGCATACCCCCATAGAAGGGAATTTCACTCCAGCTTTTCTCACAGATTACCATTAAATCTTTATGGAGAGTCCACATATGTTCTTTTTTACTAAATCATATTGTGTCGGTTCTTTTTCAACTGTGTGGATCACACATATAAGCGGCTAAGGCATAAAAAAGAACCGATATGATTACACAATATGATTTAGTAAAAAAGAACATATGTGGACTCTCCATAAAGATTTAATGGTAATCTGTGAGAAAAGCTGGAGTGAAATTCCCTTCTATGGGGGGTATGCTATGTCTTTTCAACAAACTAAAGCACTGAAAAGAAGACTTGACCAAATGGAACAAAGAATCCTTTGGTAATGTCTTCTCTCTTGTTAAAGAAGCTGAGGAGGAAGCATATACTGCTGAGCAAAATTTTGAGGTAGATGCTACTGAAGTAAACAGAGAAATTTTCAATCTTAAGAAGGCACAGTTGACAAGAGTTACAAATATGGAATACGCATATTGGACGCAGAAAGGAAATGTTTAGTGGCTTAAAGGAGATGCAAATACCACATTTTTTCAGTCTTGTGAAAGAAAGGAGGAGACAGCAGGGAATCAACACCCTTCTAGATACTAATAATCAATTGATGGATAAGTATGAGGAGTAGGAGAATCTGGTTATCTCTCATTTCACCAAATTTTTCAAGGACAATGAGAAAGTCTGTTCTTTGCAAGACTATAATAATTTTTTAGAAGGAATCCACTCCCTAATCACTGCAACACATAATGCAGACCTTTTCAAACTGCGTGTGTGTGTGTGTGAACTCTTTCAATTTCCATTTGCTGAGCAAATTACATAAAAAGTTTCAAGATACATGAATATATGAAGTACCTTTGGATTTCAAGATCAAACTCGCATCGAGGTAATCTACATAACTCGAAAAATCTTGTGACCTCGTCCGGGTACGCACTAGGTTTATCGAGAGCACAGAGTCGATGACATGTTTGACCAACATAACAAGTGTGTCGATGGTCTCCAGTATGTTACTGGAATTGAGTATTAAAACAAAAAACACACACACAAAAATAAGGAAACCAAGTTGATTTCAATAAAGAAACAAAAAAAAAGAAAGAAAAGAAAATAATCTTCCATATTTTACCAGGCTCAGTGGATGAATTTGATGTATCTATTGAGATCACACCATTACATTGCCGTATAAGTGTTCCCAACTTTGGGCCATATCTTCCACCAACAACGGTTTCTGTATATACATGCCCAAAAATGGCAGGCCCTCCTTATAATAAGAAGATAGAGAAAATGCACGGCCCAAACAGCTCGAGAATCCCAATTTCCAATCCTTCATGAAAGCAAAAGACCAGAGGTCTTTGTTCGGGAAGTTGTATACCCAATCATCGAAATCCTGTATATCATTAGCCACGACTTTGAGTAAGATTTGATGTTTATAAATAACCACAAAATTAAGTTTGTCAAAGTTAACTCAAATAGTTTTTAAGAGAAACAACAACCATTGAGATCTCCTCTAAATTGACTTCTTCGCGCATCTTGCGCGGAAGATAATACGGTGAGGTTGAGAGGGGACATGCGTACTCCTTTGGGGCTCTCAAACCCATAAACCATGGCAAATCAGGATCAGCATTATTCTTGAGTCAAGGAGGTGGCTGATGGGCTTGCATTTCTAAGAACACTTTCCTACACCAGAACAATATACTCTGGACTTAACAGAGTTTGCAGAAACAAATCAAACAATCATAATACATAAATATGAATGACTTCACCAGAACACTTTCATTAATGATATTATGACTGATATAGATACACAAGACTTACCTTTTTATCTCTAACAAGTTCTGAGGGAAATGAGTATACTTGAATAGTGGTTGCACAACCAAATTGGCAAACACCAAAGTATGTCTTGAAGGATCACACTACAAAAAGTAACTCTTAAAAAAGAAAGGAAAAATCACATCCACACACATATGCACACGGTAAGACTAACCCAAATACTCTTTGACTCTAACAGGCCTTACACTATACTTGCATTGGGGTAGTTGGAGGAAGGTGAGGGACTTGAAAAGAGGGATGTAATCCATCACTTGTTTGTTTGCACATTTTAGGAGGGAAAGGGATTTGGAAGGATTTGAACTCTCCTTCGTAAATATAAATGAATATAACTAGTGCGTACTTATGTATATATATATATATATATATATCGAAGGATTTGAACTCTCCAGTATATTTATATATTACTCCTCCGTCTTAAAATTAATTTCACAGTTTGACTTTTGTAGTAAAATTTTTTAAACTTTGACCATATATTACGGAAAAAATACATTGAATTTTAATATAAATTTATAAGCAATAGATTCATTTTAAAACATAGTTTTGAAATATATAATTTTTAAAAAATATATTTATATAAAAATTGATATGTTGATGGTCAAAGTGTCACATTGGAGACCGTGAAAAGTCAAGTAAGAAGTTAATTTTAGGACGGAGGGAGTATTATAAATATTATGGAATAGAAATATAATGAAAATGATAATGAAGTCGTGTAATGTAATGTATATACTTTTTTATATCTTGTTTTCTTTTNTTGAATTTTAATATAAATTTATAAGCAATAGATTCATTTTAAAACATAGTTTTGAAATATATAATTTTTAAAAAATATATTTATATAAAAATTGATATGTTGATGGTCAAAGTGTCACATTGGAGACCGTGAAAAGTCAAGTAAGAAGTTAATTTTAGGACGGAGGGAGTATTATAAATATTATGGAATAGAAATATAATGAAAATGATAATGAAGTCGTGTAATGTAATGTATATACTTTTTTATATCTTGTTTTCTTTTAATGGTTCCCTTTGAATATATGACATTGACGAATCCTAGTAGTGAATCTCAAACTTATATTTGCTTCGACAATGTCAAGAACTCAGATTTATAAGAGTCAAGTCTAATCTCGAAAACACGTAAGATTATTGTTAAGGAAACCAATATTTAGTCCTGCACTATATGTTACGCTTTTAGGATTAACAAATCGTAATGGCTTATTCTGATAATGTTCCCTCAATCCCCCAAATCAAACTACAAATGTAGTTTATAAATAAGATTTCTAAAAGTTGTAATTCATTTTACATGCATGCTTCAAAACAATGAAAATTTTTATATTTCATTATATGATCTATTTCTTTTCTTCAATAATGACACCAATATATATATATATAGACACACACACACACACATTTCAATTTTTTTCATTTTTTCCAAACATTTGTTAACCTTTTCTAATATTTTCCAAACCATTCTAGTTTTTTAAATCTCCTTCAAGATTTTATTTTTTCCAGCTTCTTACCAACTTCTTTCAATTTCTTCTTAATATTCAAAACTGAAATTTCAAATAAAAAAACAATCCCCTTAGGATTTATTCTCTTCGTTTGATTTGATTGAATTAAGATCTAATCTGATTCAAGTTATATTTAGAGTTCGATTGCTTCATCTGATTTGACTACATTTGATTTGATTAGATTAATTTCTAATCTGGTCGGGTCCTTGTATGATCTTATTCAAGTTATATATAAAAAATTTTCTGATATATTCTGGTTTAAGAAGTGTTTCGTTCAATTTATTTTTTCTGTTTATTACTTATACTTATTAAAATTAAATCAGATTAGCTAGATTAGATCAAACTAGATGAGATCAGACCAGATTCAATCAGATCAGATCAGATCTAAACAAAATTAATATTATTATTATTACTACTACTACTATTATTATTTTAAACAATATTGTTACTATTATTATTACTATTACTATTATTATTAATGTTATGATTATAATTATTATTACTATTGCTATTATTATTATTAATTCTAATAATATTATTGTTATTATTATTATTATTACTATTACTATTATTCATTCTTACTATTGTTATTATTACTATTACTATTACTATTATTATTATTATTATTATTATTATTATTATTATTATTATTATTATTATTATGACTATACTTATTATTACTATTGTTACTATAATTATAACTATTATTATTATTATTATTACTATTGTTGTTGTTATTATTATTATTATCATTGTTACTAATATCATTATTACTATTACTACTAATATTATTATTTCTATTATTATTATTAGTATTATTCTTAATATTATTATTATAGTTATTATTATTACTATTATTATTACTATTATTATTATTATTATTATATTTGTTATTATTATTACTATCGTTATTATTACTATAATTATTAATATTTTTATTACTATTATAAGTATTATAATAATAATTTTATTTTTAATTTAAATCAAATTTATATCAGATCAGATCTACTCAGATTAGACTAGATCAGATCAGATCTAATCAGATCAAATCAGATAAGAACTTCAAAAATCAGATCAGATCATATCAGAAAAGCGGGACACAACTTTAATCTAGTTATGTTAAGAATGAGTTATAAATAATTAGAATAAGTTGAAGAGAAGAAATTCTTAAAATCAATTTTGGATCTAATTCTAAAAAGAATACATAATACGGAGTACTTTATAAGTAGTAAGATTAAGACTTTGTCTGTTCAACTTATTCTTATTACATATTTTTTCCATCAAACTATTTTACTTATTTCAAAAACGAATTTTCAAGTTACTTTTTTCACGGTCAAACTTTAATTATTTTTTTTTACAAATTTTCGTTACGTGTTTGATAAAATAATATAGTTTTGTCATATCTTATTTTTGTAGACTTTTGATATACTTTTTGTGTTTGAAAATATTTCCCTATTACTATTCACACGGTCAATCTTAAATCACTTTGTTTACCTATTTTTATTAGTTGTTTGCTAAAATAATATAGTCTTATCACCCTTTGTTTTTTTAAAATTTTTGATGTAGTTTTTAAATATATGATTTTATTTTTTAATTTTACACCTACAATCAAATAAATTGAATTGAAAATAAAGTCGGACAAACCTCGTAAACACAAACAAGAAGATAATTTTAGGACGGATGGAGTAGTTTTTAAATATATAAGTCATTTTTTTAATTTTACACCTAAAAACAAATAAATTAAAATAAAAACAAAGTTGGTCAAGACTCGTAAACAGAATTGGAAAGGACGTGTTAGGGCGAAGGGAGTATTACTTATTCTTATTGAAAAGAGATCAGAACAAACCAGTTCAGATCAGATCAGAAACAACTTAAAATATAATTTTAATCAAAATCAGATCAGATTAAATCAAATCAAGTGAGAACTTAATCTAATTAGATATAATCAGATCAAGAAGAGAGAAATAACAAAAAACAAGCTCTTAGTCATAAATTCATTAAGGCACTGTTTGAAAACTAGCATTTCATTTTAGTTCATGCATTTCAATTCCAAAACTTGAAATATTAAGTTTCAAATGACAAGGAGAAGTGTATGGATCGGATTTCAACTTAAGCTTTACTATGAATAAAAGAATTTGATTCAAATTCAAATTCAAAATTTTTAAATTTATCAAACATGAAATTTGAGTAATTTCAGATTTGAAATCCAAATCATGTTCCCATACATGCCACCCCTCGATTTCTTTCCAATCTAAACTATTGGTACCCTTCGATTTCTTTCCAATCTAACCTATTGGATGGTTACCATTCTTTATACTTTTTCCTATATTCGAAATATTTAATCCAAATATCAGCGAATCTCACCCACTTATCTACTCCATTATTCTCTCCATCCCTCCCCTTTAACGAAAAACTCTCCCTTTATAACAAACCTACCTTTATGGATGATGGTGTTCATCTTTTTCAAAAAGGGCGATTTTACTGATTAAGTTTTTCGTTTTTAAAATAAAAAAATTAAAACCCAAGCTTCATCATACCTTGTGCGGCTGGGGGCTTCAAGCTGGCAGTTCGGAGACGAGGCTTTTAGATAGGGCGGGCATCGTCGGCGGCGGTAATATTTGGACAGCGGATTGTGAAGAGAGTGCCGACGAGAGAGAAGAGACAAAGTTAGGTCAGGTAGCTTTTTTATACTCCGGGTGTAAAGTAGCCCTAGGGCGGAGAATGTCCGCTTTCTCTATTCATGCCGTTAAATCTCCATTCTGTTCCACTTGTTAATCTAACTCCATTTAATTACTTTTTTTGGCAAACAATTAGCAGACTGTTTGCTATTTATGGAATAAGTAAACTTTCCGTTTCCCTTCTTACCACTCAATGGAGAAGTTCTTCATTGTTTAATTTAAGGCAAAATAGGTAAAATTATTTCTAAAGTCTCCGTGGTTTCAAAATGTTGTACCCATATCGGCTGTGATAATTTTTCGGCCATTTTTCAAACAAAGAAAGGAGCATTTGTACCATTTTTTCTAAACCATAGAGGCATAGATGCTCATTTCTTATTTTTGCTTATTCTTTTGTTCCCCTTTTTTCCTTTTTTGTTTATTTTATTAATCAATGGTTTGTTATTTTTCTAGTTATTTTTAAAAAATTTATTATATTTTATTATTTTTAATCAAGTAAAAATTATTTGTTTGTTCCTTTTATCATTTTTAATTTTTTTGAAATAAAAAAGTAAAAACTTTTTTTGTGAACTTCAAAAAATGAGAAATAAAACAAAACAAAACATAAAAATGAAACCATTTTAGACATCCCTAATTTAACTTTTTTAGGCGTTTTGAAAATTTCTTGTGTATTACTTTTTTTGCATGTTTTAATTTTTTCAGTTCGTCTTTCCATATTTTATTTTTTTATTTTGCATATTTTTGAAGTTACAAAAAAAATTCTACAAATCAAAAAGTGAAAATGTTTGATTTGAGATAAAATGGATTATATGTTAATTTTTTATTTTGATTTCAAACAGAAATAATTTTTAATTTTTAAAAACAATACTCCCTTCGTCCACAAATAAACTTTACGTTCACTATTCACAGGGTCAAACTTTATTCACTTTGTTGGCCTATTTTCGTCACCCATTTGATAAAATAATATAGTCATGTCACCTCTAGTTTTGTAGAAACACCATTTGATAAAATAATATAGTCATGTCACCTCTAGTTTTGTAGATCTTTTTTAATAGGTAAAATAATATAGTTTTTTAATATGTAATTTTTATTTTTCAATTCTACACCATTTGTCTCTCAAAGAATGAGATAAACAATCTTCTTGAACTAAAACCATGAATCAAAATTCTACATACATTCTTTTTCTTCTAATAAGAATTTTCGTTTAAATACATACATACATACATACATACATACATACATACATATATATATATGTCTTATACATTTTAAGGAAGCTTGATCGAGACAGAAAAACCGAGAGAGAAGATAAGTTTTAAGTCTATTAGGCTACACTTAAAGAAAATGGACTACACTAAAAAAATGGGTTTTTTCAAAATTTTTAAGGGGCCCAAGGCATCAAGGCGAGGTAAGGCGCGTTAAGGCGAGGAAAGGCGACGCCTAGGCGAGCGCCTGATCGCCTTAAGGTTTTCTAGGCGAGGCGAGCAGACAAGGCGTCCCAGTGATAGCGCCTTATCGAATAGGCGACGCCTTACAAACTATGCCTCCCCCCCCCCTAATTTTACTCCAATTTGGAGGGATTAAAATATAAGGGGAAGTGAAGAAAGGTAATGCCCTCCAAACACTTTCAATACAAAAAAATGGGTAGAATGCCTCCATCCTTCAATTTACTTCCCATTCGTCCCATTCCCCTCTATCCAAACACAATGTAAAGGAAACAGAAGTAAATACCTGAATGTATTTCTTAATGCATTAATAGAAATTCAATACAATCGAGAAATGAAGCCCAACCGTTCAAGCAATAACTTTCAACATCATCATCTTACTCTGCAAGAGAAACTGAAGATCATAAGTGTAGACAATTGAAATGGCTAAAAGACCAGCCCAAGCAGGAAACATCAAGAAGGCATTACCTCAAATCTCTCATTCATTCCACACCCAGAAGCATGAAACTAGCGTCTCCACAACCCCCTGCAAGAAATTATACAACACAATTAACTTTTTGGCCTACAAGGTGACATTATGAGGAAGATATAGTATATACTCCCTCTGTCCTATATTTATCCTCTCAATTTGATCCGGGATGATCTTTAAGAGAGCGTAAAATATGCTTAGACTTTTCAAAAATGCCCCTCAACAATTCTACTCTAAACAAAAAAAGAACATTTCATCAAGTCCAATTCACATCTAGGATTAAGCTCATAGAAAATGGCAGCCACCATCATCCCCATCAGATCTGTCCGACAACACAGAGGAGAGGTTTAGTCCATGGCATCAACGACCACCATCGTGACCAGATCTATCGTAGGAACACCAGATCTGCGCATGTGGAACACCATCGCCGAAGCTCATCAATCATCGAAAAGATCAGAGATGGTTCCATTGACGGATCAGAGGGAGAATTGTAATATTTGAATCTAAAAATGGTTGAATGAAAAGACCTGGGACGATGGAGGACGGGACGATGAACATCGGCCACGGTCTCCGGTTGGCAGCGGTGTTGGCGTATAACGCTCACAAAGTCAACCCACTAGCTGATTAGGTTTTTCTTTTTTAAATTAAAAAAAAAAAATTAAAACCCAAGCTTCATCATACCTTGTGCGGCTGGGGGCTTCAAGCTGGCAGTTCGGAGACGAGGCTTTTAGATAGGGCGGGCATCGTCGGCGGCGGTAATATTTGGACGGCGGATTGTGAAGAGAGCGCCGACGAGAGAGAAGATACAAAGTTAGGTCAGGTAGCTATTTTATACTCCGGGTGTAAAGTAGCCCAAGGGCGGAGAATGTCCGCTTTCTCTCTTCATGCCGTTAAATCTCCATTCCGTTCCACTTGTTAATCTAACTCCATTTATTTACTTTTTTTGGCAAACAATTAGTAGATTGTTTGCTATTTATGGAATAAGTAAACTTTCCGTTTCCCTTTCTTACTTGTTCTTTATTGTTTAATTTAAGGCCAAATAGGTAGGGGTGTTCAAAAATATTCGATCCGAAATATCCGTCTATAATTCGAGTTGATTCGATCCAAAAAATGGATATCCGATCTGATATTTTAGCTTTCGGATATTTCGGATCAGATATCAAATGAAATATTAAGATTTCGGATATCGGTGGACATCCGAAGTTCATATTTTTAATATATATATATATATATATATAAAGCTTAGACAACTTAAGCCCAATTCATTTTTATCATCATAAATATTTGAATGTAAGATTATCTGAAGTTTTTTACTTTATTCTTTTTGTCTATGTTTTATTTGCCAATTATATTGATAATTTTTTTCATGCATTTATAAAATTATAACTTATTATATTACTATCAAGGTAACTATGACATTTAAAATAGAGTTGACTTCAAATTCAAGTCTAAATCATGACCTCTACTATTTTAATAAATAAAAAATCATTCTAAATATTTTTTAGAATTATTGGAAAAAATAAAAATTCAATGAAAAATAAATAAAAAAAATTTCCGGATATTCCATTGATCCAATCCAAAATATCGGATATCTGAAATTCGGATATCCGGTAATTTTCAGATCGGACATGGAATAAATATTTATCGATCCGAAATTTTCAAATATATCTGAATGAACAACCCTACAAATAGGTACCAATACTCTCCCTGTTTTCAAAATTATTTCTAAAGTCTCCGTGGTTTCAAAACGTTGCACTCATATCTATTACTAAGGCCAAATAGGCACAAGTGCTTATTTCTTATTATTGTTTATTTTTATGTTACCCTTTTTCCCTTTTTTGTTTATTTTATTAATCAACGGTTTGTTATTTTTTCTAGTTATTTTTATAAAATTTATTATTATTTTTAATCGAGTAAAAATTATTTATTTGTTCCTTTTATTATTTTTAATTTTTTCTGAAATAAAAAAGTAAAACTTTTTTGTGAACTTCAAAAAATGAGAAATAAAACAAAACAAAACATAAAAATGAAACCATTTTGGACATCCATAATTTCACTTTTTTAGGCATTTTGAAAATTTCTTTTTGTATAAATTTTTTTGCATGTTTCAATTTTTTTCAGTTCGTTTTTCTATATAGTTATTTTTAATTTTTTGAAGTTACAAAAAAATTCTAGAAATCAAAAAGTAAAAATGTTTGATTCGAGATAAAATGGAATATGTGTTAATTTTTTATTTTGATTTCAAATAGAAATAATTTTGAATTTTTAAAAACAATAAAAAAATTTGAAAAGAAATTTAAAAAAACTTTTCTAGGAAAAAAGAGATAAAACAAAAATTAAAAAATGACTCAAAATATGTTAATTTTAAAAATTTTTAATGTTATAGATACCGCCACCCACTCATGCAATTTCAACATATTTTAGCCAAGTTATATGTAATTTGGTCTCTCTAGGTATATCACTTGATATCACAAATCACTTTGGTCCATGTAAGTTCATTTGAATTAATTTAGTATCTATATATTGAAAATGCAAATCAAGTTAATCTCTCAAATAGAATTTATTTTTTAAAATTTTGAATTATTACGTTAATTGATACAAGAATAATGAATGTTTGAATAAATTTTGTATGTCAATTCATGTGTTAACTTAGCATTTTACTCCCTCCGTCTCACTATATTTGTCCACTTTCATTTTTACACACCATCCAATACACTTCTTTAATATATTTTATCTTATAATTTGTATATTAAAAAATTATAGAAATTATATATTAATAATTTATATGTTACGACAAATCAAACAAGATCACACATGACTATATTTAGATTTACACATTGAGAGAATTTGATGAGTCAAAGTACTTAGATGAACAGTTCCAAAAGTTAAAAGTTGGCGAATATAGCGGGACGGCGGTAGTAAAAGATAAATTTAACACAAAGAATTAAACAAATCCACATTTTTTGAGTAAAAAGAACTAATTTAACTAAGGGGCTGTTTGTTTCAGCCTCTTAATGGTTCAGATGTCCGAATGGTTCAGTACTTAATGGTTCAGACGGTTTGTTTCAGCATCTTAATGGTTCAGATGTCTGAATGGTTAAGAGATTTGCCTCTGAATGATTAAGTATTATACAGAGTCTGAATG